GATGCTTTGTACCCTTTTCTTGGCAAAAGTATTGGGAAACTTAGGGCACCAATTGGTGTCTGCACACCCACACCCTCAATTCTGCTTCCCTCTCTCAAGGAGGTCCTGCCTGCAAGGGGGGACCGGTGGGGACAGCAGAGTCAGTGGTGACACTAGCCCATGTCCTTGAAAGTCACCCTTGTTGGTCACTCCAGTGCTTGGACAATGCTGAGTCCCACGCTCTCCTCTGATAAAGGACAGAAACCCCTGAAGTTGCTGGTCTATTATGATTATGCCCATTCCCTGGAGGGGAAACAGGAGGGGAAGAAAGGGCAGAGCTAGATCAGTTCAAGGCCTCAGCCAACTCTCTCCTGCGTGCTCTTCCCTGACCACCCAGCCTGGCAGATGGTGGAACAGAAGTATGGCGGCCTCTGCTGGCCCAGGGAGGCGGAGAGAGGCTACCCTGTGCCTGGAGTGCCTTGCTAAATGACAGGAGGGAGAGAGGGCAAATGTGACCTGCGGTCCCCACCTCCTGGGCTCCTCGGTGAGATGGCTTCCCACTTCAGCCAAGACTTCTTTGCCAAACAAGCGTTGGCCTAGCTTCCTTCTTGTCCCCAATCTCATCCCTCCCAGGAGGCCACAGGTGGACCCCACGCCCATAATCTTCAAAAGCATAGGGTAAGGAATCTTCTCTTCCCTGCCCCTAACATTTGGAAGGCCCAGGACAGGAGTACAAACATGGGCCCATACATCCTGTTAAATACTTAAAGATTACAAACCAAGCTAACAGCATAAAACATGTTCTGTCTTCCAGCCTTCACGAAATATAATATCATTATGACCTGAAAAGCCTGGTTGGAATTTAGAATTCTCACTCCTCTGGGCTCCCCGCCAGTGCACGGAGACCTGGCCCCAGGCCAATGGCTGACCCCCACATCTGTCATGCATCTGTAAATGCAGGGGCAGGCACAATCCTTGGCAGGGTGTACCTGGGAAAGATACCTGCACTGTGATCTAGAAGCCAGTTGGTCAGGAATTACAGGTACCCAGACTGTTACCTGTGAGGGGTCGGTAGCACATTCCTTCAGCCCCATGGATCCTAGCCCCAGGAGGCAACTTCACGTTCCTGCCTGGTTGTGTGATAGCTCTGGGGGCTGCGGGAGCAGGAGGGGTATTAGCAGAAACCCAGGGGAAGTTTCTCTTGTGAAGCCTTCGGCAGGCGCGCGCACGAGTGATCCTGGACCCACTGTCCTTGACCAGCCGTTACCTGGCTAGAGAGGAGGCAAAGGGGGCCTGACCACCCTCCCCAGTCCACCTGGGCAGTTTCTGGGAGTGGCTGGGGACACGTGGGTCTCCCAGAGAAGGGGTTTCCTGACCCAGTGTGTTCGCTGAAAAGTGTAGGTGGGCGGTGCTTGAGCGCACTGAGAATCTGCAGGAATGTGGGCTGAGAGTGTCTGCACTGTTGTTTATCACTGCCGAGCTGGGACCAAGACACTGCCAGATTCTTGGGGGCCTGTGAATCTGAGCGGACCACAGTGGGTGCAGCCATCTGCCAGGTGGGCTCGGGATGTGCCTGAATCGGTCCTTTCAAGAGACGCGGGCGCCCTCTCGAGGATGCTTGAAGAATTTCACCACCTTGGTCCTAGATGGCACAGACTCTGAATCCAAATCTCATCCCCATTCTGTCTCCTGCCCGATCCAATTGCTTCTTCCACCCGCAGCCTTCCCACAGCCCAGCCCGCCCATCATTTTGAGAGGGCTGTCATATTAGGAACCAACAAAACGCAGCACCTCCAGGGTCCTGGCATAATGGGGCAAAGTGACAACAGTTTGGACTTAACTGAGGTTGCTGAAGACCCTGATGTGTATATGGAGGGAGTCCCTTCTGCAAACCGAGGATTTTGTTCTATGGTGTGGGTCGGGAGCCGTGGGCACCCACCACTGCTCCCACTGCTTGCCTTTGGTCTGCTGCAGAGCATGGGGGTGGGGGGTGGCCCACACCTTCCACCTCAGCTACCTACATGCCATCAGGGGAAGCAGGGAGGCACGTGCTGGCCTGTTGCCCTACTTCTGCTCTGAACACCCACTCTAGCCTCAGGGGGATCAGGCCCTCACCCTGATCTCAAGGGGGGAGGGGAACTGAAGTGCCCCTGAGACCACCAGAACTCAGCATATAACAAAGCCATCCAACCCCCTGCACCAAGCTCCAGCTTCCAGAAACATAAGGCTGTGTCCCTAGAATGTCCCTAGTATGACCCCAGCCCCTCTTTAAAATGCCTGTCTGAGAGAGCTCAATGCAGCCTGGAGAATTTAGCGTTGGTTCCTCGCAAACACCTGATGACTGATGACGGGCTCCTGACTTACTTTTCTTAGAGCATTGGCCTGAAGGGCTTATAATTATGACTTCTTCCTCTGTCCTTTTGAGGCATACATGTATCTCCTACACTCAGGAGTGTCTTTCTCAAGGATCTGGAAGCCATTCCTTTGAAATGTGATCATCAAGGAGGACGGGGCCTGTCTCCCAGTCTCTGTGGGAAGATAGATTCCGACTTTGATCCCTGCCAGCTAGCAGGCACCCCTGGTGCCTAATTGCATTTTCACTGGGCAATCCTTTGTAATTTTTCACTTCTCTGACTACTGGAGCCCCCACCCTCCCCGCTTCTTGTCCCTTGGAATGCCCAGTCACCTCTTCACAGATGGAATGAAACTCAGCTCTCCCCACCCCCCACTGCCAGTGGTTATTGAATAAAATCTCTTTTCACCCCTTTAATGTCTGACTGTGTTTATCTTTGACACCTAGCTCCTTGGCTGGCTCAACAGTCTTTCCCTTCTCTGGTTTATTATAAACACATAGGCACATGCGCCCTAAACCACCCTTTATTCAGAAGATTCAGGGTATTGGGGGTTAGAAGTTCTTGGTCATTTTGCCCCTGGCAACCCAAGCATCCCCATCAGCCATTCAATGGATAAGTTCTAAAAAGACCATTTCTCTGCGTCTGGAGAGGTTGGGGTTGGAGGCCCGAAGTATGTGAGGTGAGGACTGACACTTCCTGCCTGGCTTCCCCCTCTCTCTGCCGCCATTGCTGGTCCCAAGCATTTCCCTGATGTTCAAGCTCTGACCTTCAGTCATCCAGGGAAGTAGGTCTCTGGCTTTACAAACTGGGTGCATTCTTACCTCACACCTCTCCCAAGCTCAGTTAAGATGTGGGGCCACTAAGGGGTGCCTAGGTGGCTCAGTTGGTTAAGCGGCCGACTTTGGCTCTGGTCATGATCTCATGGTTCATGGGTTCGAGCCCCACGTCAGGCTCTGTGCTGACAGCTCAGAGCCTGGAGCCTGCTTCAGATTTCTGTGTGTGTATGTGTGTGTGTGTGTGTGTGTGTGTGTCCCCCTCCCCCACTTGTGCTCTCTGTCTCTCTCTCTCTTAAAAATAAACATTAAAACATTAAAAAAAAGAGACAGAGAATGGGGCCCACCATGACCAGACTTGAGGACTCCCCACACCCATCTTCTCAGTAGCTGAAAGGTGGCCGCCAACCTCTGTACCCACAGCTGCTTTGGGCCCCTCACATACTGTCCACAGAGCACAGCCCAGGGCCGCAGCTCCGGACTCTTCTTGGTCTGGCCTGAGTCCCCCGTCAGTAATGACCCACCAAGCCTCGGCCCAATGGGGAGCGTTTCTAAGAAGACAAGAGTCATCCAGCTGGAAATGCCTCAACAGGAACAAAACCAATCTGACCCTTTTCCCGCCAGTGAGCTGGCGCCTGGCCTCGGAGAAGATGTTGGTGAAGCCACAGAGGGACTGCTTCCTGTGGGCAGAGAGGTGGCTCGCCTATCTCCATTTGAAAAATAACTTCGAAATTTGGTCCATTTGAAACTCTAATTATTACAAACGGGGAAGTTGAGCACAAGCTGGTCTGTCAGGTGCTGCATTGTTCTGAGTGAAAAGGGCCCTAGGGGGGAGGGCAGTGCGCCTTGTATTAAAAAAAAAAAAACCTGAATGTGTGCAAGCTTTGCCTGTTTTGGGAATGGGTTAAGGCTCTTTCTGGTAAATGGTGTCAGGAGGAGTGTATTCATTTTAACTTCACACCCTCCGGAAATAAACTGTGGAAATGTGGAGGGGGAGGGGAGAGGAAAAGGATTAGGATTGGAAGGGCTGCCATGGCTCCGGGGTCCCCTCCGTTCTTGCCATGCACACCCACCACCCAGAGAAAGCGTGACTTGCTCTTCTCACCTCCATCAAGTCAAAGCAGGGCTTGGGGGCCTGTCGATGCAGTGAGATGGGGTGAGGGGCTGAGACAGCTGATGACATCATGAGCCTGGGCCCCTCCTCATACATTCTCCTTGGACATAAAAGAAACCAAATGAAGGAATGGACTCTCTAAACAGAAAGCGAAGACACGTGACCAAGACCACACAGTGTTGGTAACAGAGCTCGGATATGACCTTAGCTTTGGTTGGGTAAGGGAGCAGGAGACGTGTAGCTGACCTTGTTCCCCGGTCCCTTCCAACCCCCATCCCCCCAACCTCCGCTCCCACCTCTCTGTGGACACTCACCAATCTGGGGTGGGAGGGGCCTGACCATCGATGCCGAGTCGGGGGGGACAGCGCTCTACGCCAGAGGGGGATGTGGACCACACAGTCTTCAGCCTGGTTGAAGAGTGTGGGTTTCTCCTCTAGGCCCCCAGAAGCAATGGATGTATTGGAGGCACGCATGAGGCAACCTCATCTCCTTTTTTTTTTTTTTCCCTCTTTTTAAAAATATCACCTTGAAGGCTCTCATCAGAATGGAGGTGCTTGGGAGGGAGTTGAGGCCATAGTCCAGGCAAGGGTCGCAAAGGGCCCAGCCTGAGCCAGGAGCAATCCAGAGAAGAGGCCAGAGCTCAGTCCCCTGAGACAGAATGGACAGGATGTGGGTGCTGTGGGAGAGAGGACAGGGGATTTTCAGCCCACGTGAGTGGGGAGCTGTGAGCCTTCAGCGCTTGAACACATGCGGTTTTAAACGAATGGTCTCAGGCCCAAGTTTGGGACTGTCTTTATTGGAGCTTGGAATGTCACTGCAAATTCACCTTAATCAGAGGCAGACTGTGCGAAAATGAGCAGCAACAGTGGCGGGCCCCAAGCAGGGGCCATCCGGGCTACATTGGGGACGCTGCTCGCCTGCAAGCAGTACACAGGCACACAAACACATGCACACACCCTTACACAAACTCACACTCTCACACGTGCTCACTCACTCCCAGGGGGTCTGAGGCCAGGCGCCCCGCCGGATCAGTTCGCTCCCCGCCTCTTGGACAGGCCTCGTCTACACAGCAGGGACCAGCCGAGCTGTGAGCTGTGGCTGAAGTTTCCTCCCACTTGAGGACCAGGGCCGAAGGAGCCAGAAGCTGCAGGCATTTTGCAGTTTGGGAGATGGGGATCCAGGAGGATGGGAGAGATTGCCAAGGACCAAGCAGAGGGAGCCCCACTGGGGCACAGGGGAGACAGGAGACGATTCTGGAGAAGGGCAGGGGAGGGATGAGGGCGGGAGAAAAGGGCCATCTCTTCTCCTTCACGCACTCCAACCGCACGGCCGGGGCCAGAGCCCTGGGCGTAGGAAGCCTGGGGGGCATCAAGGGGTCCCCTGTGTCCTGGGAAGGCACTAAACGGGGAACAGATCCTGGAGAGCCTGGAGTCTCCCCCAAGCACCCCAAGGGGGACAGAGGGGAATGACAGAGCAAGAAGGGTCTCACATGCTGGTTGTCTGGGGACACGAGACTGGGGAAGCACGAATCCTGCTGCCCACCCCAAACCGGGGGAGGGGTGCGCAGTGGGCTGAGATGCAGCCCCTCCGGCCGGCAGAGGGGATAGAGCCAGAGCCAGGCTGCCCCTTTGGTCTCCAGCGCGGTGAGTGGGAGGTCCGTGGGAGGTAGAGGCAGGAGGGAGGAGCCTGGGCCTCCTGCCCCCGAGGGCCAGGGCTACCAGAGCACGGCCCCGTCCAGGTTCCCATATCCCGGCTCGGCCCGCAGCCTCCAGTACGTGTTGTTGGTCACCCACCACTCCTTCCCACTGCTGTCCGTCTGCCGCCTGGGGAAAGGAGAGGGGTGGGCACCCAGAGCCAAGGCCAGGGGCCCCGGAGGCCCCCTCCCAGAGCCGGCCCCACTCAGAGCAAGAAGGGGCTGTAGGGAAGGTGGAGAGGAGCCTGCGAGGCAGAGGCCCCGGGGAGAGGGCAGAGGTACCTGAAGAAGCGAGCCTGGTGGACGATGTTGTTCTCCTCCATCACTCTGCGCCTGTCCCGCTGAAGCTGCTCGATCCTTCTCTTCTGGGCTTCGGCGGCCTGGATGTTCCCCTCCTCCAAGTACCTGGGCGTCCACACGGCAGTCAGGGGAACTGCCCCCCCCCCAACCCAAGGCCTCTGTGCCCTGCCCAGCCCTGCCCCCAGATGGGACCCATCTCCCTGAGGCAACGCCCAGAGGGAAGGACTCTGTGCGGAAGTTTATGTGGAAGAGGGAGGAGCCCAGAAGCTCCAGGGTGGGGCCTGCCTGACACTGACCTCTGGTCTGGCCGGAGCCGCGTGTCCGTGGAAGGCAGTGACCGTTTCAGCTCCGCCGTCAGCTCATTCAGCTCCAAGGCAAACTGAGTGAAGCCGAAGTTTCGCTCGTGGTCTGGGGGCATTGAGTCTGGGGAGGGCGGGGGGAAAGGCAAGGGGCTGGGGCAGGTGGACCATGCCATAGCCGCCCTCACCCCTGCCCAGCCCTCCCTGACCACCCCACTTACTGGGTTTCCAGATGCACTGGCCGCCGGGCAGGGACCCCCGGTAGAGCCCCTCGTGCCACTTTCCGGAAAGTCGGTGGAGGACACGGCCGCTCCGGCTGAACACGGCCCCCTGCACCTCGTGGACATTGGAGCTCCAGTACTTGGCCTGGAGCGGGGGTGGAGGCGGGGGACTTAGGTAGGTGTCCCCTCCTGGCCCCCCAGGGCGAGCCTCTGGCGGCAGACAGGCAGGGTGGGGTGGGGGCGCTCACCTTGCAGAAGGTGATTTTGCAGTGACAGGAGCTGTCCTGCGTGTTCCGGATGAGCACCTCCCCGTAGTGCTCGATCCAGCGCTGGCCGCTCAGGATGTTGTGGATGCAGGACGTCACCTTGTTCCACTCAAAGTGGTCCCCAAACCTGAGAGATACAGAGCCAGGGAGGGCAGCTGGCTGGCCCCAGGGGACAAGGGCCACCCTGAGCCAGGATGCCCGTGAGGTGGGTCTGTGGAAGGGACACTGTGGTTCTGGTTCTGCCTCTGCGCGAAGGGTGACGTATTTATAAGGGCGCCTGGGTGCTTCAGTCGGTTGAGTGTCTGACTCTTCACTTCAGCTCAGGTCATGATCTCACAGGTCATGAGGTCGAACCCCACTTCAAGTCCTGAGCTGGGCTCTGTGCCGACAGCGCGGAGCCTGCTTGGGATTCCCTCTCTCCCTCTCTCTCTCTGCCCCTCCTCCACTTGTGCGCACACACATGCACTCTCTCTCTCCCTCTCTTTCTCAATATTTTATATATATACATACATATATATAAACAAAACACAAAGGATGACATATTTACAAAGAAGAACAGCTCTCACAAAAAACATTGAGTCAACATGTCTCCATTCATTGACAGAGCTCCTGACTGCCTAAGTCATGGGGATAAACATGGGCAGGGTCCCTGCCCGTGGGTGCCAGGGACCAGGGTAGGCCCATTCACACACGTTACCCTGTTTAACCGCCCCCCCCCCCCCAGAAGAAGGGGGCGTTAAACTACTCATTTCATGGAGGAGCAGACTCGAGGTTCTGAGGCATTCAGCCTCTTTGTTGTTTGCATAGTTATCAAGACTGCCAGACAGAACTTCAGTCTCTGAAGTCCAGGATCTTCCTGCCCTGGGACTGGCCTCTGGCTAACTCTTGGACCATGCCCGGTAAGCTCTCTTCTTCCCCGGCTGCTGTCCCTACTTGTAAAATGACATGAGCTAGATGACAGTGTTTCAGATGTGTTTTGTGATCAGTCCTGACACCAATTTAGGTCTCTGTGGGTCTGTGTGTGAGTGTGGGTGTGTCTGTGTATTGACTTGAAGTCTCAAATGCATTTCATACTGTGAGTCACGGTCAAAAGAGTGTGAAAGCCAGGGTGTCAGATGACCTCGGTGAGCCCTTCCAGCTCTACTGTTCTAAGATTTTTCACATTTCTGTATGCACAACGGCTGTAAAAATAGGTGTGAAACGTATAGACACTGCCCCACAGCAACCAGCTTCAGGCCAGACCTTTCTATCCTGCACCTACCGTCTCGCCACCCCGGCCTGGAGGGTGGCCCGCGGGCTGGGCCTGACTGCAGAGCACTTAGGGACACCCACCTGGGCAGGCTGACGTTGACGGTCCCCACAGGCACAATCTCCAAGGATTTGCCCCAGAACTTGTTCTTCCACTTCATGTCTGGCGTTGGGTTGGGAGAGGGAGAAGGAGAGGGAGAGGGATGGCAGAAATGAGACAAGAGTATGTTCCAGCCCCTCCCCCATCTGCCCTTCACCCTCACGTCCGCCCCCCCCCCCCCGTCGCCCCTCACCTTGCCAGAAGATGAAGTTCTCAGACTCCGCATGGCATGCCGAGATGGGGGGGTGATGGGAGACCTTGGTGAGCAAAGAAGGTCTCTGGACGCTGCCCCTGAGGACCGTGGGGTCTGTTCCTTGCCCCAGGGCTTCCCAAAGTCCCTTATCCCCATTCCCAGCCCCCCTCCAAACCAGAAGAACAGCTGGTCCCAGGTCTCTTGCCTCTGTCATCCTTAGCCATCACCCACATTCTGTCACCCTCTGTTCCCATGAGGCCTCACATGCCCCCTTCTCACTCACTCCCTTCTGGAGCCCCGGGACCCCTGTCCAAGCCTTCCAAGCACCCCAGCAGTGATAGGCGAGGCCTCCTCCTATGCCCCGCCTGAATGCCAGCCTTCCTGGGGGCCCTCCTCCCTCACTGCCTTCTCCTTCACCATCATCACAGCCTCTGAAACCCTTGGCCTTGCCCTCCTCAGAACGGCTCCATATCTGGAACTTGAACTTGGGTATCCCAAAGCCTGCAGCCTTGCCTCTCTCCCCATTCTCTGTGGCCCATGACTCTTCCCAAGACTTCCAGCCACTCTGCTTTGTTGTGGCCTGTCGGCCCAGCACCACCACCACCACCACCCCCCACCCCGCTCCCGCCATGGCTGACATTGGTCTATCACCTCCACCCTCTCACAGCACCCTGCACAGCCTGCTGCCACCACCTGCCACAACACCTGGCGTTGGCTCCTCTGTGCCGCCCCTGGGTCCCCGCTCTTCAGACACCCCCACTGGGCCAAGGAACACATGGAGTGCACACCGGGAAACTTCAATGCTACACTATCTACACCTGGGCCCAGTCCTTCTCCGACCCCATTTCAAGTCCGTCCCCCACACTCGGCAGGGAGCTCTCTGGAGCAGAAAGCCCTCATCTCCCCTGCCATGTGGCCCAGGGCCCCGCACAGAGCCATCCGCCCTGAACTCACTCTCCCGCCCTGGCCCCTCAGAAGCCCCAGCCACCCATGAGGGCCCCTCTTTCCCGGGCCCACACCTGCTCACTGATGAAGCGGAAGCCTCGGTCAGGCCGCTCACACTCGTAGGTCTCCCCCAGGACGGGGTTGAAGGGCTTACAGCCTGCTCGGTGGTACGTGGACGAGTAGGCAGAGACGGCAAAGGCGGCGATGTACACCTGTGGGCAGAAGGGCAGGGCGATGCCGCTGGGGGTGGGGGTGCGGCCGGGAGATGCCACTGGGGGGCAGTGGGGAGATGCTGCTGGGAGGTGGGGGGGAGATGCCACTGGAGGGGGCTGGGACATGCTGCTGGGGAGTGGGGGATGCCGTTGGGGGGGGAGATACCACTGGGAGGGGGCTGGGAGATGCCGCTGGGGGGTTGCAGAGAAGGGGGGCTGCCACTCCACTGCAAGCAAGGACGGGGCAGAGGTGGAGCTTCAGCAGCGGGGAGGAGCCCCGCCAGGAGTTCAGGGGGTACCATGCGCTCGCAGGGGTCCGCCACGCGGCTGGCCTGGTCCAGGAGGCTGCTGTACTCCAGCTCCTCGCAGAGCCGCTGCAGAGTGTTGAGCGGCTCGTTGAGCTGCACAGGCATCGACACCTTGGACAGGTCTTTGCCGATGTTGTTCCGGAGTATGTTCCACAGGCTCACGTCGGCCCCCGGCCCGCTGGCCGCTGGCAGGCAGCGGCGCCGCGGTGGCCCCGCAGCTCTCCCTGGAACACACGCCCCTGGGCCCCACCCGGCCACGTCACTTTCCCTCCCGCAGGGCATCCAGACCTGGCGGGCACACGGCAGGCCCAGCGGCTCCCTCCCTCCCCCCGCCCCTCCCGAGGCGCTCCTAGATACACCCCTTCCCAAGTGCCCCTCTGGACTCTGCTGAGGAACACCCGGGGGGCTTTAGGTGGGAGGCAGGGCCCGGAACCACTCAGACTGGACGACTCCCATCGCTGGAAACCCTGAGGCCCAGAAGCCCTTCCCGAGCCCCCCCCGGCCTTCCATTCCCCTCCATAAACCAACGTTGGGATACAGATTGTTCAGCCCATTTTACAGATGAGGGAACAGGTTCCAAGAAGTAAAATGACATGTCCAAAGCCACACTGTAAAAGACTGGCAAGGTAGGACCATCTGCCTCTGTATCAGGCCCCACGCCAGTCTTCTCAGAACACTGAACTGGCCGCTAGCCCCCAGGCCTGAGCCTGACCCCCATCCGGAGCCACTCCTGGGACATTCTGTAGCTCACAGCTTAGCCTCCCCCATCTCCTGGGGTCACTTCTCGAGTCAGTATCCAAAGCTGCTACCCCACCAGTCACCGCCACAGACTGCCTCCCAAGGGGTCTGGGCTGTGGACAAACACCATCTGTCCCTCCCTCTGAACCCATCCATGCCTGCACACCCAGCTGGTACCTTTCTGGTAGCGCTCAACTCCCCTGAGGTCCAGCACCTCCTCAGACAGGCTGGTGGTGATTTCACTGGTGCACGACTCCTCCTCCTCGGAGCCCTGGGCCGGGACAGAAGACAGACCGGGCAGACTGGGCCTCCCCGGGCAGATGGGCAGATGGGCAGTGCCCAGGGCTCGGCAAGACCCTGCCTGGCTAGTCCTCTGAAGGGAAGGGGGATGACATGTATTTGGGGGAGGGGAGGGTCTGAGCCCTAAGACTGACATTACAGAGTGTGTCCTGCCATCTTGGGGAGGGGACGCCTGGCCCTCTCACTGCAGGGAGGGAGCGCAGGGACTTGGTGAACACCAGGGAAAGGGGGCAGGGCATTGCTGCGATCCAGGGTTCAGGGGTGGGGTTAGGGCAGGTTAGAGGGCTGACCCACTCACAGGAAAAGGCTGGGGTGGGGCTGAGGCAGCAGTCTTGTGGGGACCCCATGGGGATAAAGTACATCAGACTGGAGGAAGGATCCCCAGCAGAGATTTCGGAGCAGGGCCACACAAACCCAACAGGTCTGGACGTGTTACCAGAGAGAGCGGCCGAGGCGTTACAAAGGACTTGGGAATCCACAAACTCTAGGCTCTCTAGACCCCATCCCCATTTTCCCAGAGCTGTCCCCCACCTCACCTCATTCTCAGAAGAGCTGGCAGAGAGGAGAACCTCACAGGCATCAAAGAACTCAGTGTGGGAATCAGCAAGGGACAGGACGCTGCTCTGGGATAGCTGGGGGGTCAGCCCCCGCCCCTTCATGTACAGGGCTTCTTGCTGTGGGAAGGACAAGGTGTCAGGCAGGGGTCCCCGGCCATGACAGTTCCCTGGAGAGGGAAGCATACCGGGGACTTGTCCTGCCTGAGGGTGGCACCTGCCAAGCAGAAGACGACGCAGAAGGGAGAGTGTGGTGGGATACGAGGGTGTGGCAGGTGAACTGGGGCCTGGGAGAAAGGAAACGTGGGTTCCAGAAGAGCCATGCACACTGCCCAGGCACTCACTCTGAGCCGGGTTCCAAGCCTTCCGTGTGTATTATCGCAATCAATGCTGACACTCAACCAAAGCGGTATGTACGGTTATGACCCCCTACTTTGCAGATGAGGACCTTGAGGCTCAGGGTCAGAAAGGCGGCAAGCAATGGAGCCAAATTCAGACCCACAGAGCCCCGCCCCAGAGTCTATGCTCGGAACACTGAAGTCCCAGCTCAGCCAATCCGCAACTGGGGGTTCCTGGGCCCATTGGTCAGATTCTTGGAATCTTAGTTTCCTCCACCATGAACTTGAGGGTAAGGATCGTGGCCTCGTAGGACTGAATTAAGTAAAGGGAGCCTGGGTGGCTCAGTCAATTGAGGGTCTAACTCTTGATTTTGGCTCAGATCATTATCCCAGGGTCATAGGATTGAGCCCTGTGAGTCAGGCTCTGTGCTGAGAATGGAGCCTGCTTAAGATTCTCTCTCTCTCTCTCAAATTAAAAAAAAATAAATAAATAACTCTTAAAAAAAAAAACATAAAAGCACTCTGGAACACCTGGGTGGCTCAGGTGGTTAGCCGTCTGGCTCTTGATCTCAGTTTAGGTCTTGATCTCAGGGCCCTGAATTCAAGCCCCTTGATCTCAGGGCCCTGCGTGTGGAGCCTACTTAAAAAAAAAAAAAAAATTATAAGCTATCCAGCACAAGCTGGCAAGGCAGAAATGACCGAGGTGAGGCCGCTGCCAATGTCACATGAATTGGGTTGGAGCTAGGATTTCCGGGCCCTGTGTTGTGTCTGAAGACCAACCTTGCAGTACGGGAGAAATGGTCCCCACGGCCCAGCCTGGCTCCTACCTCCTCAGGGTTCAGGGAGCTGAAGGAGTCTGCGGTGGTGTCCGAGGAGATGGAGAGTGAGTGGAGGCGCCTCGGGCCAGTGGAGGCCTCAGAGACCTGCGAGGAGAGAGTGAGGGGACAGGAAGCCAGGAGGACAAAGCCCTCCCCGCCCGACCCCACCATGCTGCCCCCTGCACAGACTGCCTCTCTCCCCAGAGCCAGCTCTGCTCTCTTCCCCGGGCATGCAGTCCTCAGCCTCGAGCCCTTTCCTCCCACGTGCTCCCCCATCCGTCAGCCTCACCCCCATGCGTGACAGCTCTGAACCCTGGTGCAGGTCTCTCAGTCGGTCCCATTCAGCAGTGAGGGCAGCCAGGACGCTGCTGAGGGAGTTGTGCACTGTGGGGCAGGGGTGGGCATCAGACTCCTCTTCCTCTCCCTCTCCCCACCTGCCCCCCCCCCCCCCAGCACGCACTCACCCTTCTGGGCCAAGGCCCAGAAAGTACGTTGCAGGTGGGCATAGTCGGGAGGCGGCAGCCCGCGGGGGCCTGAGGGGTCCCGGGACTCCAGGTAGCGAGAGAGGTTGGGAACGGAGCCGTGGAGACGACCAACCTGCGGGCGAGGGGGAGGAGTCGAAGGTGGCGGCCGCCTCCAGGGCACCCCAACCCGGCGACGTGGGGTCCACACCCCACCTCACCCGTCCAATGGTGTCGTCCTTGGCGAAACTCTGTGTGCACCACATGCGGCTGGTCCGTTTCCCCTTCTTGGGTCTCTCGGTCGTCACCGAGGCCTGGCAAGTGGAAGGCAGGAGGTGAGGGTGGGGCGAAGGGCAGCAACCGCGCAAGCCGGGACAGGGGACGATGGCCATGGAGGAGGGCGCAGGGACATCTGCCATCCCAAAGGAAGAAGATGGCACGCTAGTAGAGGCGTGGGCACGGCAGGCAGGGGTCACTCCAGAAGGCCAGAGGGACAACCCTGAGGCGGTCTGGACACGGGGGGGCGGGTCGGCTAGGCAGATGCGCGGCTCTCCAGGAGCCCGCAGCACCTGAGGGGGTCTGGGGGCCTGTCCCGGGGAAGTGGCGAGGGTGAGGGCCCCAAGCAGGAAAGTCCCCCGGGCAGGGCCCTGGCCCCGCCCCTGGCCCTCACCTGGTGCGTGGGGATAACAGGGGCCGAGGGGATTCGGTGCAGGGACTCCAGGCTCTGGAGGAGTCTGTGTAGCTCCTGGAGCTTCCCCTGACACTCAGAGAGCTCTGCGGGAAGAATGAACGCGGACGTCCCTCTCCCAGCACTGCCTGGGCGCCCCGGGGTCTGTCCCCCGGCTTCCCTTCCCCCTCCTGAAACCTCACCCGGCAGCAGCGGGGCGCCAAAGCAGTTCCCAGTTCCCACCCCTGGTCTGGCCTCGAACTGGTTTCCTGAGAGGGCTGGCATCCTTGGTCCCCATAACACACCTGAACTCTGCCGCCTCTGCATGGGGCCGCGGGGTGGGGGTGGCCCTGACTCTCTGCCCCCACTCGCTGGCACTTCCCTCTCCCAGGCCAATGTCTCAGCTGCCGACTCCAGGAACGGGGTCTAGAGCACACCCCGTCTTTGGCACTACTCCGCGGGACCCCTCCCCGATTGGCTTTCTGTATCTTCTTCTTTGTGAGTCCCGGGCCCCAGTCCTGTCTATGTGACTGAGGCACAAGGCCTGCCATCCCCAGTGAGGCTGGTGCTCCCCAGGGCAGGCCCGAGTAGACCCGGTCAGCTTGGAGGCCGAGGCTGTCTCCTCTGTCAGCTCAGGTCCCCTAAGGCAGGGCTGGAGGTCAGGGTCCCCCCTCCTCGTGACTGCTGGCACCCCCTAGACCCAACAGCACGGGCCCTGCCCACAGAGGGGCCCCTCACCATGAGAGCAGCGGTCTAGCCCATCACTGTCCCTCAGCCAGGAAGACACCTTCTCCCGAGGCCCGACTCCAGGGAGAGCCGAAGCGCTGCCCGCTGCCGGAAGCTGGGCACCAGGAGCCTGTGGGTTGAGTCAAGGGTGAGGTAGGGCAGCACTCCCCTCCCTGGATCTCATACTTTCCTGAAGCTGCCACCCCTGAATCCCCATGTCACCAGTCCCCGCCCAGGACCTCCCTTACCTTCCGGTGAGTGGTGCCGGGCAGCGAGCCTCGAGGCAGGTCGAGGCGCTGGGCTAGGCGGTGGGCACGCAGCTGGGCCACCCAGCTCTGGAACAGGTCCTGGGATTTGATCTGCAGAAGGGATGGAGACGGGGAGGGAGGCGTGAAAAGAAGGACCGCATCCCAGGGGCAAGAAGTCAGAGCTCTCAGAGCCTCCCCCTGCCGTCCCCAGCTTGTGCAAAGGCTCCTTGCGGGGCGGCAGGGCAGTTTCCCCAGGTGTCTAAGCCCTTGGCTCTGGGCCTGTTCATGTACCAACCAAGAGGGAGGCCTTGCTGTTGGCTGTGCTATACGATGGGAACTCCCTTGTTGTGACCCTCAGGGACAGACCCTCAGCCCCTGTCCCTCTCTCCTGCATGCCCTAGTGTCTCTGCTGGGCTGGGGCCCAAGCCACCCCTTGGCTCCCAGGGATGTCACCTTGAGGTGGTAGATGTTGTCTTCAGTGTCAAGGTCAATGCGCTGGGCCTTTTTGTTGATGGACATAACGGACAGTCGGACGTCAATGGAGCCATGAAGCTTCCCCTTGGTGATCTAGGGCAGATGGTTGGCAGGGGAAAATGGGACTGTTTTTAGGTCCCCAGGACCACAGAGTCACCATCTCCCTGAGGCGACCCAAGGCTCAAGGGCCAGGCAGCAGGTTCACCCTTGTGCCCAAGTCACAGGATCAGCAGGGACTGGTCAGTTGTCCTCCTGTGCACAGAACACCCACACTCTGAACAAGGGAGTCACAGAGCAAGGAAAACTAATCTCGGGAGCCCCAAGGCTGAGGAGGGAAGCACCCTCTCGCAGAAAGAGATCCTGAGCATGTTGGCCTTCAGTTCCCGTTCCCAGCATGAGAATGAGACAAGGGTAAAGATGATAAAGGTCCCATTTCCTGGGCACTTATTTTGTGCCAGGCACTGTCCTGAGGGCCCTTACCAAGACGAACCATACAAGTGGGCGACCATACTCTCTCCATCTTTGAGATGAGGGAGTTGAGGTCCAGGGAAGTGACTTGCCGGAGACCGCACATCCAGAAGTGGTGTACCCGGGATTTGGACCCTGCTGTGGTGGATTCCAGAAACCCCCTGCCTCTTCAGAGTATTCTAGGCCCGAACTCAGCCCTCAGCCCCCAGCTCCCAGCAGAGGCCCTGACTCACCTCTTGCCGGGTCGTTGCATATTGAAGGATTCCGTCCTCGAGCACAAAGTATCTCTGTGACATTCCCCAGAAGGAACAAGAGCCCAGGAGGTGGAGAGAAAAGAGTATGGGGAGAGAGCAACCACACACATAGACTTTTCTTCCCCTCCACACCCCCCCCAGTCCTGCCCACACCATTCCCTACATCCCCCACCCGCCCCAGCATCTGGCCCCTCCCTTTGCCCTGCCCACCCTACCTTGTGCCAGCCCTTCAGAGGCCACTTCCGTTTCTTGAGCAGGTGGCCTTCCTGCCTCTCGGGCATGATACCTTCTGCTCCCAGCCTGCCCCGCGACTCCTCCACCACCTCCCACAGCTCAGAGGCCTGCAGTCCAGGACAGAGAGGTAGGACAGCGGCTGGTGAGGTGACCAAATCTGCCCCCCACTTGTGGGCCAAGCCCTATCCACCCACTGCCTGCTTCCCCGTCTCAGACCTGCAGGGCACTGGTGGGCTTTGCAGACTGAATGTTCTCTGCCAAGGAGTTAGGAACCCTCTCTTGGAAGTCCATGGAGATGGGAGCGGCCACTCCCTGCTGAGAAGGTAGAGCAGGGTGGAGGGAGAAGGGTGTCACCTTGTCCTCGGGGGACCCTTGAAGCGAGAGAGAGAGAGAGAGAGAGAGAGAGACCCCATTAGCCCAGGCCCTGCTATCACCTTCCCCACCTCCACCTCCAACCCTTCCTGCCTTCCTGCACCCCCTGAGATAAGAGCTCACCAACATCTGCTCACCTGCCCTGCCTCTCTGAGTCTGTCCCTTCCCCACCCTGGGCGGGTTTCCCTGTCTACACCCTCCAGCTGTGGCCACTGCTCTCCGAGAGGTGAGCTAGCACGCAGCCCGCAGGCCAGCGCCAAGAGAAAACCACAAAAGTCCGCCCAGCCCCACCTTGGGCCCACATTCTCAGGCTCTAGGAAACACTCGGTGCTTTCTCTGGAGGATTCCCTGGGGGGAGGGGGGCCTGGACGGGTAAGAGGCATGGGAGTAAAAAAAAGAGACTCTAAAAAAGGGCAGAGGAATTCAGAGACTGGACAAGCAAGATCTCAGCCTGGCTTCTCTTCTTTCAGGACCCCTGGGCACTCCTCCACCTGCTGTCGTGGGTTGGAGACTCATCTGCCATCCCGACTCCCCGCTAATCAGCCTCCAGATCCTCTGTCTTCTATACTGGGAAACTGAGGCCTGAGCCAGCCTCCACTGTTCTCTGTGCCTCCACCCTAAGATGCCCATCTGAGACCCTCGGTGCCCCGCAAACCTGCATTCTACCATCCCAGTCCTTTGGGTTCCTGAGAAGTAACACCCACCCAGAGAGCGCAGGGGACCAGGCCCACTGAGGCACTGTGGGTGGGAGAAGAGGTGGCCAAGAACAAGCCAAGGTCCACACAGTGCCCACAGGCGCCCTTGACACCAGCCCTGGCCATCCTGGCTCCACGAGAAGATCAATAATGCATGAGGCTCTGTGTGTGTGAGGCAGGGAGGGGACTGGAGGGGCGAGGCTGGCCTGAGGCTGGGGAAACAGATCAGATCTTCCAGTGGAGCCAGTAAGCACCTGAGGAGCGAAGGCCAGGAAGGTACAGGGACGCAGTGGGGTAGTGGTGGCCAGGAGGTAGGGACGGAGGGGCCTGGAGTGCAAGAGGCTGACCCGGGGGATAAAACTCCTTCATTTGGCCATTGAAAGTTCCCAAACTCTTCCAATGTTTGGGTATCTCTGTGTCCTTTTCCTGGCCCCCTAGAATCCTGGCCCCCCACTGCTGGCGGGTGGAGGGGGAGGCTCTGTCAGTAGAGGGTGTGGGGTCGAGGGGAGCCCGGTGGGTGCCGCATCTCCACTTCCATTCCCACCCCAGTCTCCGGAGGGGCAGACCCACCAGCTTCAGGTGGGAGGAAGCCTGCCCCGGGAATGTCAGCCAAAGGCAGCGCGGGCCCCTTACCCCAGGGTCCATGGACACCAGTGCTCCTTGGCCCCCGCGCCGCTCGGCCTCTGAGTCACCGTCTCCGAGTCGCCCGCTCCCTCCTCGCGGAGCCTGAGCAGTGGTAGCAGCTGCTGCAGGAACCAGGAAGGAAGGAGACGTCGGAGCCTCCCCTCCAGCCGGATCTCCCCACCTCCCCCTTCCCGGCCCCTCCTCCTGCCAAGCTCTGGGCGGCCGCTCAGCTCTGCCCCCCTGCTCCCGGGAGGACTCAGGGCTGAGCGGACTCCCCAGCACTGAGGTAGCTTGGGAGTGGGGGCAGAGTCCCCGCTGGGCGCAGTTCCAGATAGACCGCAGAGGACTGGGGAGCTGCTGGCCTCAAGCCAGTGGTGGTAAAGGGTTTACTCGTACTAGCATTGCCTTGACCCTAGTTAGTACCCAAGGCCATTTCCTCATTAACCGCCCCCCTCCCTCATTTTACATCTGAAAATAGATTGCAAAATTTGGGGCCAGCAAATGTATCAGGTTGACAGGAAGGGACGGATGCCCCTGGGGGACCACGACAGACAGTGCCAAGAGCACGGTCAGCAGGCCAGCCACGGCTGGAGAGGGCCAGGCAGCAACCCCCACAGAGGCTGTCATTGTGGGTGATGTCCCACCAGGTCAGGACCCGCTGGGGCTGGAGGTACCTGTGCGTTAACACAAAGCCCCAGCTTGCATGGTCTCTGGATGCGAACTGTGTCTGCAACAGTAATGAGCAGGCTGTTAGAAAGCGCTGGCTGGAGCCTCTCAGGTGCCCCCAGCCTCCCTTTCTGAGCACCTCTGCTCTTCCGCTGGGGTGCGGTGCTTAGCACAGTGCTCAATTCTAATTAAAAATTAGCTCTTAAAGAAAGGTCTGAACCTCATTAAAATGAACGTGAAAAGGACGGACACCTTTAAAGACAGTGAAGCTGCTTTCTGGAAAGTAGGGGTTTTTTTTAATGGTAGGGCCTCAGGCATCACCAGCAGGTGAAGGATGCGATGCAGGGTTCTTTGATCCAGGTTCTTTGACCTCAGCCCCACCCAGGCGTGGTTTACCCTCCAGGACCCTACACCTCTCTCAGGAGATGCCAGTTCTCCCCGCCATTCAGAGCCTCAGCTCGGCTCCTGCTGCCCCGGGAGGGTGTTGTTGGCACCCGGCAGGCTTCCGGGAATCAGGGAGAGCACCGGGCGCCACTGGCCAGTCGGGCCTGGACATCCAGGAGCCTTAAGGGCCTTTTCATTCACTTCGTATTGATCAGGCATCGCTGGGGCATACAGCACAGAGCTGGGCACTGTGGGAAACTGGTCTTGGACCAGGCCACAGAAAGGCTGCTGCAAATCGTGACTGCCAGCATGGTGCCTGTCCAGGACTGAGGAAGCTGTGGCATTGCCCCAAGTCTGGGAGTAAAGCTTGACAGCTACCTTGCCTGCATCAACTAAGGACAAGGGCAGGCTTCTAGTTAAACGTTCTCTCTCCTTCATTAGGAACTTCTGGTTCTCCAAGATTTGGAGGAGGCCTCCCTGCTGAGAGCCTCCAGACCCCTTCATTAACACAGAATTCTGGTTTGCCCCAGCTCTTCCGCTCGGAACCACTCGGGATGTGTTAGCTACTGGGCAAAGCAGGCGGCCGCCTTCAAAAGGACAAGCATGTAAGAGATGCCATTTGTGGGATTGGCCCAGGGAGGGAAGAGACATGGAAAGGAGGGGAGGGGAAGTGAGGGAGGGGCTGAGAATTAGTCGACAGGGATGATAAGCTGGCAAACAGCAAAACAGAGTAAGTAAAATGAATGCATTTCATTTTATCACAAAGCAGTGCTCCCAACCTTTCCAGAACACGGCACACCCCCAGGGCGGAGAACTGACACTCAGGGACCCTAATGAGGAAGCTCTAGGGCAGAAACCCAGGACACGGATCTTCAGAGCAGAGACAGCCTGATTCAAGTCCCTGTTCTGCCTTTTATGAGCTGCACGACCTTGGGCCGGCTATTAAACTTCTCCGCCCTGTCGTTTTCTTCTCTGTGAAACAGGGAACGCCGTGTAGAGTGGTGGGCACGGGGCCTGGCACAACAGGCTCTCCAGAGATGCCATTACCCAGGTGAGCTGTTCCAGCACGTTGGACCCACGAGGGGATAGGCTGGGACACGTGCAGCGAGGGGCAGTGGACACAGAGGCAGAGGGCACAACCTCATCTGTTCGGCTTCTCTGCCTGGGACGTGGAGAGCTGGAAGACTGCCTCCACGAGGCCCCAGGATGGGGAAAACTGGGACAAGACAGTGATTAAGAGCCTCCACTGGGAAATGGGGTACCGGAGAGGCTCCCCATCTCTGAGTGGCTCCGTTTCCGAGGAGGTCGTGGCCAGTGCAGTCGGGTAACGCACGCCACCCCCCACCCCAAGTTCTTCCACGTCTCTGATGGAGGATGGCACGGCCGGCAGGGGTACAGTGCGCTTGCGGGCAGGCTGAGTGCAACAGGCCGGCTACGAGTCCGGAGCGGGGTCAGCAGAGCCAGGCTGCCCGCCGGCTGGCACGGCGGCGTCCCTTCCGTGCTGCTGCCTGAGGTACTGCTCCAACAGGGCCGTCAGCTGGAGGGGCTGGTGCTGCAGCAGGAAGCGGGTCTGGGCCGAGAGGAGGCTGAGCCCTCCTACCAGCTCCCCCTGCACCAGGGCCAGGCTGGGAAGCTTGGCGTAGTTGAGGAAGCCCTGCCTGCTGAGGATGGTGTCATCGATGCAGCCACCTGGAAGAGCACAGGGTCAGCCGGGCGCCCCACACACGCCTCCTTCCCCTGCAAACAACGCTCCGGCCTGATGCTCCAACGCACGCTCTGTCGCCCTTCCTCACCCCGCAGCCTTCCCCCAGATCTGGTTCCCACCCCGGGCCCACCCAACCCCGACTCTGCTTGGGACTGATCCCCTCCCTTCTTTCCTAAATCTTGCCTAGAAAACCCTTACATAAGACCTCCACCTGGCCCAGCCCCCACTAAGTCACTGTTTCCTAAACATTCTTAAAAGAACCGCGGAGCATGTGTGTATGGTGGCAGGGACCCACAGAGACCTAAAAAAACAGTCTTCTCAGGGGCGCCTGGGTGGCTTAGTCAGTTAAGCGTCCGACTTTCGCTTAGGTCATGATCTCGCGGTTTGTGGGTTCGAGCCCCGCGTCGGGCTCTGTGCTGACTGCCAGCTCGGAGCCTGGAGCCTGTTTCGGAGTCCGCGACTCCCTCTCTCTCTGACCCTCCCCTGCTCACGCTGTCTCTCTCTCTCTCTCCTAGAAATAAATAAAACATTAAAAAAAAAAAAACAAAACAGTCTTCTCTAGGAGAATCATCTCTGAGGGTCTTACCTTCGGGTGGCGGGGGCGATGGGTCTGGGAAACATGGCTCACTGTCCCTCAGTGCCCTGGACCTGGGCTGTCTGAGTATCTTCGTCTGTGTAGCTTCCAGCACCCCTACTCCACTGCCAGCCTCAAGGTGTCTGAACTCCCTCTCCCTGCAGGGCCCTCTTCTTCCCCCTTCTTCTACCCAGTGCAGAAACGACGCAGGGTAGTGAGCCAACACGGCTTCTCCGCTGACACAAGTGGCCCTCAACAAATGGCGCTACTGACTCAGGCCCCATCTGTGAGAGGATGTCCCCGCCAAAGATGGCCGCAGCTTTACCCGCGTGTACTTAGCAGATGGCCCCAGGCTGCTGTGGCCCCCACCGCCCTCCGCCCCCGTCCTCAAGCCGCAAGGGTGCGTGCTCACCTAGCAGGGGCAGGAAGGGCAACCCCTTCAAGACGCGCACCATCTCCTTGACTTTGGGCTCCTCACTGACCAGCAGCATGTTGTGCCCCACGAAGAGGGGCAGCAGGTTTTGATACTTGGAATCTGCTAGGAAGGGCTTCAGAACCTGGAACGGCAGGAAAGACGGCTTCCTGGGGACCCATGGGAGGAAAGGGGCTGCCCACCCTGAACACAGGCCAGGTCACACCCAGGGTGCGAGCCGACGGTCTCCTCGGCCCCTGGCTGCAGTTAAGGCACCGGACTGGAGGAGGCTGGCTTGTGGGGTGGGGAGGGACACCGGGGTCTGGCTGGAGGGCGCGGGGGAATGCAGGCACCTGCACCAGAGGGCCACTCCCTACCTGGTTGGGGAAGATCTTCATCAAGATCTTGTGTTTCCGCAGCTGGTGCCGCATGAGAAGCTTGTCCTCCGCGCTCAGAGCCACGTTCTGGCAGACCGCGATCATTCGGTTGTCTCGGAAAACTGCATCTATCTCCCGACGGAGGAGCCGGATGAGGCCTGTCTCCTGAAGTCAGGAAGGGAAGACCACGGGGACATAAGATGCCCTTCTCTCCTTGTGCCCTTTCCCCCCCAGGAACGGGGGCTGGGGCTCCCAGCGATGGCCAAACAAGGGAAAGATCAGTGTACGAGCAGGAGGGTCGGGGCCCTGCCTCCCAAGAGGTTCCGTCTCCCACCCTACATTTTGTCTTTATTAGGTAACAGTGGTCTTTACAGCAGGGTTTTTAACCCTGGGAACGCTCATCCCCTTAAACTGGCCACCAATCTGACCCACTCAACACCGGACAATAACCTGGTCAAAATGACTTATGCCTCAGACACTGTACTCATGTTGAGTGACTTTACCAATTATAAAGACAAGATAATTTTGGGTTAGTGTTGATTCAGAACTGAGGCATTGTCATAGGACAAGGCTTCATTTTCTTTTCTTTTTAATTTTTACTTTTTAATGTTTTTATTTATTTCTGAGAAAGAGAAACAGCATGAGCAGGGGAGGGTCAGAGAGAGAGGGAGACATATAATCTGAAAATAGGCTCCAGGCTCTGAGCTGTCAGCACAGACCCCGACACGGGGCTCGAACCCACAAACCATGAGATCATGACCTGAGCCGAAGTCGGACGCCCAGGTGCCCCCAGGCTTCATTTTCTGAAGACCATGTTTCTAAGCATTGACAGCTTATGGATCTGACAATGAGCATAAAGTTATAAATTCTCCACTGCCCTTTCTGTTCTTTTTAAGGATGAAAAAACTCTTATCATTTCTCTAGGAAAACATGGAAACTTCAAGCCCTTTTTTTAATTTTTAAAAAATGTTTATTTTTGTGAGAAAGAGACAGAGCATGAGAAGGGGAGGGGCAGAGAGCGAGGGAGTCACAGAATCCGAAGCAGGCTCCAGGCGCTGAGCTGTCAGCACAGAGCCTGATGTGGGGCTCCAATGCACCAACTGTGAGACCATGACTCGAGCTGAAGTCAGGCATTTAACCGACTAAACCACCCAGGTGCCCTTTCAAGATAGGAGATATGGGCATCTGGGTGGCTCAGTCGGTTAAGCGTCCGACTCCGGCTCAGGTCATGATCTCGCAGTTCGTGGGTTCGAGCCCCACATCGGGCTCTGTGCTGACGGCTAGCTCAGAGCCTGGAGCCTGCTTCGGATTCTGTGTCTCCCTTTCTCTCTGTCCCTCCCCTGCTCACGCTGTCTCTCTCTCTCTCTCTCTCTCTCAGAAATAAGTAAAACATTGGGGCGCCTGGGTGGCTTAGTTGGTTAAGCGTCCGACTTTCGCTTACGTCATGATCTCGCGGTTTGTGGGTTCGGGCCCCGCGTCGGGCTCTGTGCTGACTGCCAGCTCAGAGCCTGGAGCCTGTTTCAGAGTCTGTAACTCCCTCTCTCTCTGACCCTCCCCTGCTCACGCTGTCTCTCTCTCTCTCCTAGAAAAAGAAAAAAAAGAAAGAAGTAAAACATTAAAAAATAAAAAATGAAGGGAATCCAGGGGGCCTGTCCAATCCACAGAGCCCCAAATGCCAAATAGAACCAAGTACAATTCATTTTAAAGCATCTGGATCACAGGGTCAAAGAGGGGAAGTAATGACGTGGAGGACTGCGTCCACTTCATTATGGCCAGCATCCCGGCACCAAGGACAGTCTCCTCCTTACCTCCTGTGGGGGGCTGGGAGGGCATGGTAGGCATTGTGGGTTGATAGCGGGCTTGGGGGGGATATACTCAGTCACGGCCATCAGCTTCTGCCGTTCAAAGTGCATCACGCGACGGTGGCGGGTAACAGCCTTGGAGCCACAGCGGACAGTCTGGCGGGTGGGCAGCCGGCCTGGGAGGGGAAATGGCAACGCTGTGATGTGCAGCCTCTGGGAGTCCTTAGTCGGCCTCCGATGGAGGAAAAGCCCACCTCCGGGCAAGCCAACCGCAGCTCGCAGAGCTAGACTCAACGCCAGAGTGGACCAAGGAATCATCTGCTAGGAATCCTAAACTCCCCAAACTTCTCTTTAATGGGCGCGCGACCTTAAGTCAGCTGCTTGATCCTCGGAGGCTCCCATTTCTCCAGCTCTTCTTTATGTACCAAAAATGGGGAAAGGGATGAGAACAAAGGAAAAGTATCTTCAACACACTGAAAAAAAAGGGGGGGAGGGTGAGGGTTGAGCAGTTTTTTTTCTGAAATGGCCAAATAGTAAAGATTTTAAGTTTGAGAACCATACAGTCATCCCACTGGATTCTGAAAGCAACCATAGATGATATGAAACAAACAGATGTGGCTGTATTCCAATAAAAGTTTATTTATAAAATATGGTGACTGGTCCTGCCACAATATGCGAACCCCCGGTCTAAGCCAGTGGTTCTCAAAGCCTGTCCTAGACCTGCTGAATCAGGAGCTCTGGAGGGGGACCCAGCAAATAGTGTTCTAAAAAGACCTCCATGTGTTACAGATGCAGGCTGGAGTCAGAAAACCACTGCTGGAAGCACTGCTCTGAGGCCTTCTCCCGTGATTTGAAACAAGAGGGAAAAGAAGTTATACGGCGCCCATAGCTGCCCCAAACAGGCCTCCCTTCCCTCTGCTCTTGTTTGCAGCCATGGGTGAAGAGTACCCCTCAGAAGACAAGGGAGCCACTTGAAAGTCCTAGGCCTAAGTGACCCCTTCATCTTGGACAAAAGAACCCAGGCTAGAGCCTCCCACTTTCAGCTGGAATCTCAGGGAAAAAAGTTCAGCTAGACGGTGGCTCAAAAGAGAGCAGGCAGGTTTGCTGGGGTGAATGGTTTTATTGCCAGCAGCCACAAAACCTAACAACACAGGCTTTGGATCAGATGGAACTAGATTTTAATCTCTCTTCTGCCACTTACTAGCTGTGACCTTGACCAGTCACTCAACTGGTCTAAACTTGAATTTCTTCACCTGTAAACAGGGCAAGATAATGACTTCTTCATGACAAGTTTTAAGATTTAAATGAGATAATACACGTAAATCATCTATCACTGTGCCTGGCTTTATCACGTGCTCAAAACCATTCATTAAACAAACAGCTATTTCATGCCCACTAATGCCAGCACCAAGCCACCTGCTGGCTATGGTGAGTGAACATGGTTCTGTCCTTAGCAAGTTTGAAGTCTAACACTGGAGACAAACACATAAGCAAATGCAAAATCACAGACTGTGATGGGTAAAGGGGGTCAATACACTGGGTGCAAAATACAAATTTAACAGGGTAAACCTGCTTCGCAGAAGGTGGCCAGGGCAGGCCTGAGGAAATAACATTTAAGCTGAGACGGTATAAAGGTGGCATAGCGCCAAGATCGGGGCGGGCAGTGGTTCAAGCAAAGGGGGCGAGCAAGAGCCAGGTGGTAGAGTATAAGAAACCCAGAGACGGGGAAGGGTACTCGGGCATAGGGAAGAAATACAGTAGTTGTCGTTGACGTTTTTGCTGCGCTGCTGTTATTACTAGTATCCGGAGTTACAGGGAATTAGCTGGAGGAAAGAGGCCAGCGATCCGGCTGGTGTCTGGGGTCATCGAGAGCTGTCTGGAGTAAGAGATTACAGGAGGGGGTCAGTAGTGGAGGAGGGGAGACAAGAACCAGAGAGCACCGGCCGGTACGCGCCGTGAGGGCCTAGGCCGCTCCTTACCCGCCTGGGGCAGGAGACCCCCTCGCAACCTCCCAGCCAGGGCCGCAGCCATCTCCACCGGAAGAACAGCCTGGAGCTGGGAGAGACCGAAGGAGCTAAGGATTGTGGGACGTCCAGGAGCCGGAAGCCGCCGCCGGATCCGCCGGGTGGGGCAGTAATCCGCATGCGCGCTGAGCCCGAGCCCTTCTAGCCCGCCCTCCCTGACGCCCCGCCTGGCGTCCAGTCTCCTAGCAACAACGCCTCGACTCCCTCAAAGCTCTTTTCTCAGGATCCTCACCCACCACTCTCTGCCCCAAACCCTCCGCTGGGGACTAGCGAAGTCCCTCTGCACCCCTCAAACCCAGACCCCTCGCCTCGATTTACTTTAGTCTTCTACCCCGCCTCATTAATTTGCTCTGAATCGACACTTTCCCTTGTCCCTCAAGTCTCTGAAATTCTCTCTTATACCATCCGCGGTTCCGCCATCCCGGGGACTAAATTGCTCTGCTTCCTTTCGTTTTAGTCCCGCGCCAGGCCAGTAGCCTTTAGATCATGGCCGGAGGTGAGTAGGGAATGGAGCGGTGGGTAGAACCGTTGGATAACAGTAGGGTCAGGCTTCCAAGAATAAGGGAACCGTTTTCATCTTTTCACAGCTAATCTTGCCCAGAGTCCAGAAGAAGGAGGCGTGTGCATTACTGAAACTCTTATCACTAAGAGGAACTTGGCCTTCCCTGAGGATGAGGATCTGTCAGAGAAGATGTGAGTGCCCGCGGGAGGAGAGGGGTGCCGGACGATAGAAACACACAGAATGACCAGTCCCCTGAGCTGTACTGGTTTGCCAGCTCATCTTTGCCCCTCTCTTTACATACTCCACGCATCCAGTCAGTGGTAACGTCCAATCGACTTTGCCTCCTTAAACAGTATTCTATTTCTTTTTTACCATGCCCCCTCAACTGCCTTGAATAACGCTCTTAAGTAAGCCATCACCTCTCAACAAATTCCTAATTAGTTTCCCTGCCCCCAGTCCAGGGTCCCCATATGGTTGCCAAAGTGATCCTTTTGAATGACAAATCTGATCAGGCACTCCCTGGTAGAACCTTCCTTGGCTCCCTAGTTCGCCCAGAATAAAATCCAAATACTTCAGCACGAGTTAACCGCTGCTGCCTTCTTCATTCTCCACAATTCCTCTAAGACCCTATGTTCTCACACCTTAGCACCTTTCTTCTCAGATTGGCACTAAGCAGCCGCACCTGGGGAGCTTGTTAATAATGAAGACTCTCAGGCCCACCTCAGACGTACTGAATCGGAATCTGGGACCCCCCAAGGGATTCAAGGGCACATTAAAGTTGGAAAAGGCCTGGATCCACACATAGTGTTCCTTCTGCTTGAAATGCCTTCTCCTCAGCCCCCTCTCACCTTCCTGGCTAACTCTTACTTGTATATCACCTCTTCCAGGAAGCATTCCCTGCTCCCCTATTCAGGACTCAGTGCACAGTCCATGTACTCCCTTAGTCCCTTCGTGTGTCTGTCATTCACTTGTCATAGATGTTTGGTCGGCTTCCCTAATAGTAATGAGAAGGGACTCTCATATGTCTCTAGGGGGCGCTCAGTAAATGTTGTGGAATTAATGAATGAGTGGATGGATCAGTGATTTTCCTTCCATGGACCACTCAAAAGGGAAGTGAGGAGGGATCCTCCTGCAGTGATGGTCTCATCCCTGTCCCAGCGCTTGCTTCCACCATCCGAGCTGGCCCAGGGAAGGCTTCCCTTGCCTCTGAGTCTCTCCGGGAATCATAAGCTATCGCCCATTTCCCAATCCACGGGCCCTACTCCTCTTACCCTCTGATCCTTCCCAGCACTACTGTTGGAGATCCAGGTCTCCAGGTTCATGATCTGGACACTGCCTCATGAGTCAAGAAATTGTTCCTGACATCTCAGCAAAGCCACTTAGCCTGAAACCCCTCTCCTACGCCCTCCCATCTTCCCTGCTAAGAGACCACGGAAGTGGGGTCTTTTACACCACCTGCTGACCATTCTCCCAGGTTTCACACTCTTGCTGAACTGCAGACTGTCCGCCTGGACCGGGAGGGGATTACTGCTATCAGGAACCTCGAGGGCCTCCAGAACCTTCACAGCCTCTATCTGCAAGCGGTACCTTCTTGCCTTTTGCTCTTCCTCCCCCCCCCCCCCCACCCCTTGCCCTCTGTGGACCAAGTCTGTTCAATGTGAAAGCAACCAGTCAGGTCATCCTGCCCATTCCCTGGTGTTCAGGTAGGCAGACCTTCACTGAAACTGGTCCCAGATGGGGCACCTGGCTGGCTCAGCCAGTGGAGCATATGACTCTTGATCTCGGGGTTGTAAGTTCAAACCCCACGTTGATTGTAGAGGTTACTTAAAAATAAAATCTTCAAAAAAAAAGAAAAGAAAATGTTCCCAGATGAACCAGAATTCTCTTGAAAGACAAATCCTCCCAAAAGAGATCCTGAGCGTGCCCTTGAAGCACTGGTTTTTTTGGTCAGACACTTCCCTTGGTTTAGACGTTCTTTTTGGTGTCTACCCTAAATCTCTCACGTTCTATAGCTCAAGCCCATTTCCTGTTTTGAAGAAGTGAAAGAGGAAACCATAAGATTCCTCTGCATCCTTTAGAACCTTGAAAGCTGTTTGGTGGTGGTGGTGGGTGGTGGGTGGCTGGTTACATATATATACAACTCCTCTGGGTTGAACATATCCAGTGCCCTTACCCTTTCTTCACAGAAATTTACAAATCAAAGTAATATACATTCATTGTTCCCTCAGTGTATATAAGCCACCACCAAGGCCTTTCCTATTTCCCCATGGCCCCTTGGCTTCCTTCTTGATTTCCAGGTCACTTTATGGTTGTGGGGTGAGCAGGGTATACTTTAATGAAGTTTATCTAGCCCCCACGTTTACACCCCTAACCATCCACCCAGAAAAAGCACATCGTCTCAAGGCAGTGACAATGAGTTTTGGGAGTGGGGTGAACATTCCCAAAGTGCCAGCTCTTCAGCCGCAAGAGGAGACACAGTCTGCTTAGTTTCCCCAACTCATTTGCTTTCTGCAGAATAAGATCCAGCGAATTGAGAACCTGGCCTGCATCCCCTCCTTGCGGTATGTGGTGTTGGGGCTCAGGCCCCGGGGGAAGGGAAACCTGCGAACACCCCAGAGAAGTGACTGGTTCAGAACTCTCCAAGCCTAATGTCTGGTCAGCTCAGGACCCAGCAAGCCTCGCTCTGCTTCTCTCACCCCAGGCCATGTGTCCCCATTCACCCTGTGGCTGCTCGGCCAGGGGCCCCGGGTGCCTGGTGCTCTCCTCCCTCCCTCTGGTGCTTCTGTGACTCAGCTCTGTCTCTGCACCCTCTCCCCTTCCCCTGCAGCTTCCTGTCTCTGGCAGGAAACCAAATCAGGCAGGTGGAAAACCTCCGTGATCTCCCACATCTCCAGTTTCTGGACCTTTCTGAGAACCTGATAGGAACACTGAAGCTGGGTAGGAATGCTCTTGCCCCAGCCCTCCCCCCCGCCCCCATCTCCCTATGCTTGTATTGGCGGCAGAGCTTCTGGGCCTCCGGGGAGATGGTGAAAACAGGCAGTGGCTTTGGGCCAGAAGGTGGTGGGTATGGGACCCTCATTGCCCTCTCCCTGGTGTGTGCAGATGAATTCCCCCAGAGCCTTCTCATCCTCAACCTGACTGGAAACAGCTGCACCAACCAGGATGGGTACAGGTGAGGAGGCATTGAGGATGGGAAGAAACGGGGTGATGGCTGAGCTCCTATTATTCACCCCACATGGACTCCCTCTCAGCCTGCAAACTTGGGGTCACCATCCAGGGCACCTTCTCGTCTCCCACCCCAGCTCAAGTGGGCCGCCTTTTCTCTCCCACCCCCAGAGGTCCACATGGAGCCTGCCCTCAGCTCTTTGGGGCTGAGCGTGGGCCGTCTTCCGGCTTGTGAACACCACCCGCTGGGTGCGGTTGCCGTGCTGGTGCCTGCACACACACCCCACCACAGGCTCCCACACCCAGGGCCGCCCTCCTGGGTAGCCTCTGCCCTTTCTGCCCCGCAGGGAGCTGGTGACAAAAGCCCTGCCCCTGCTTCTGAACCTGGACAAGCAGCCTGTGTCAGAGCGCTGGGCCTCAGACGAGGAAGATAAAGACTCAAGCGACGAGGATGAGGAGTTCCCAGAGCTGAGTGGCCCGTTCTGCACGGAGCGAGGTGGCCGGGCTTTCCTAGGCTTGCGCCCTCCCTAGGACTCACCTCTGCCCTGTGGGGCACTGGGGCAGCTAAGATGGCAGCGGTGGGGGGGCTCAGGTGGGGAGGGCGGGCAGCAACCCCAAGCTCAGCTCAGCATCTGGGTCAGAGAAGGAAAGGACAGCCGAGGCCAGGTATCAGCCATCAGGGCTGACAGAGGGTGAGTTTGGGCAGGGGGTTGGCCAGAGACCTCCTGCCTCGGCCCAGGGGCCATCCTGCCAAGCCTGGGGCTCCCATCTGCCACCTACCGTCTCGGCCCCTCGCAGGTTTCCTCGAGGAGCTGGAGCAGGAGGTGAGCAGACACATGGAGCGCAGGCAGCAGGAAGCCCTCACCGAGCACCTTCTGAGGATGGAGACAAAGCCTGTCCTCACCGACCTCCCCGAGCTGCCCTGGGGGGGCCCGGCTAGGGACAGCAGCCCCTCTGTCACTCCCAGGCAAAGGAAGGAGACACCCCCCAAGCCCGCCTCCTTGCCGCAAGCCACCTCTGCCACCAAGAAACCCTGCCCTCTGGTTTCCAGCCAGCAAAGCACTGTCCAGGCAAAGAAGGGGGTCCAAGCAGCCACAGCCCCCAAGGCCTCTCTGGCTGGGGCCCTGGGCACAACCAAAACTGTCACCCAAAGAGTCAAGAAATGAAGTACAGCCCCTCCCGTCTCCACTGGCAACACCACAGGAACAAGGAACGGGCAAGAACGGGGGATGGAGTGGGCCTCCCCTCCTTCTCAGGCCCCCCCTCCTGTGGCAGGAGCCCATCCCAATAAAATGTCTCCAGGCCCTGAATGTGTCTTGCAGGTCACTCAGGGGTAGCAAGCAGTCAAGGAAGCGGGAAACAGTCACAGAAACACAGAACCTGATTCTAAAGAGCATGTGTCTGACCTGGGAACTACCCGAAGGGCTGGCACACCTCAGGCACCCACCCGGCTTCCTGGGGCCTGAGCGGGCATCACCTTGTGGAAGAAGCCATCTCACTGCCACTCCTAGGGACTGCCCTTCCAGGGTTCAAGCCAAAGACCAAAAACCCCATGGTTCTAATCCTTCCCAGACGGTGGCCCCATCGTGCGCCAGGCATGCCCTCTTGTGCGCACACGCTCACACACGGGGGAGGCCACCTCTCCTCGCGGGCCCCTTCCGCAACCTTCTCCATCTCCTCCCCGTCACCCAAGTGAGAAGACCGTGCTGCCCGGCAAGGCCAGCAGAAGCCCTGTAGGCAGCTCAGGGCTGCCCTTTGCCCTCACTTGGCTCTCCTGCCCCCGCCAGACCTGGGATCAAGTTCACCAAACAGGGCAATGACGTACTTTATTAAGGTGAGCTGGCCACCGAAACACAGCTGAGGGGAGCAAAGGGACTGGGCTGATCCTACGACCCCAGGGGTGCTGTGCCCCCACGTCCCAGTGGTGCTCAGACATACAACTGGCTCTCCCTCTCCACAAAGGCCTGGAAGAGGCCGCCCAGCTCCTGCGGGGATGGAGCCCAGTCCCCGGCCAGCAGCCGCCGCGCAGCCTCCAGGCCCTCCTGCTCCAGATCCCGCTGCTGCTGCCGGAGCCGTTGCCCCCGATCCTGCCCAGCAAAAGTGGAGATGAGTCCCGGGCACAGGCCTCCCTCTGGACTGAGGGGGAGACGCCTGCCACAAGCAGGAGAAAGGACAGGGCCCCCGGCCTTCTCCCCGGCAGCTGGCTTTGAAGGCAGAGACTCCTCTCCTCCCCCCCGCCCCCCTCCGAGTCTCTCTCCCACTCCCAGCTCCCCTCGTATTTCCAGAGTCCTAACCGGGGGCAGGAGAAGTGAGTCATGGCCCCAGAGTAGCCCCTATTCCCTGACGGTTACCTGCTCGTTCTCCATCAGCCCGAGGGCCACCTGGTGCCGGAGGTAAAGCGGGTGACGGCGATCCACCTGAGTCTGGAATCGGGGCTGGGCCCGAACGGGGTCCTGTGCTCCAAAAGTGGGGGACAGCACCTGGGGGGCCTGGGCCATCCCCGCCCCAAAGATGAAAGGTTTGAACACTGACCTAATGGGACAGAGATGGAGGGAGCAAAGGCTATCATATCCTCCATCTTCTCCCCACCCCCCGCCCCTGCCCTCTGGCACACTCTCCTCGCCCCCTTCCTCGCCCTCATTCCTCTCACCTGGATGGGTCTGGTGTGGCGGTGAGGAAGTGGACACAGGGCTGCGTGGGATCCCGGGGCAGGATGGACACCATGCTGGCCGTGGTGCGAAAGCCTCCAGAGTCCATGCAGATGCCGCTCTCCTTGTTCCTGAGGATGCCCATCATCACCTCTGCCGTGATGCCCCCTGCGGAGGAGGACAGGCTGAGGGCCCCCCACCCCCACCCCAGGAAGAAGGGGCAACCTCTGGCCTTGGATCAAAGCTGTGGGAGAGGACAGAGGCCGGCACCACTGTGAGCCTCCCACTCTGACCCACCCCACCGCCGTCACTGACCTTGTTGCTGCTGCAGGAGCTGTTGCCCAGCCTGCGAGCGGGCTTTGGCAGCCTCCATGCGCACCGGCTGCTGGGCCAGGGAGAAGACCTGAGCGAAGTCAAACATGCTCTGCCCATCCCACCAGCCCCGGGCCCGGGCATGGGTCCGAAGCTCTGCGTGTTCGGCGGAGATGTCTGTGCCAATGCTCAGCTGATTGGAGATGTTGCGGGCCCCTTCTGCGGAGAAGCAGGGGGAGGTGGGTAGCTCATTTATCATTAAGCACCTACTCTGCCAGGTGCCAAGAAGATGATGGTGAAGAGAACACACCTGACCTCGTGGAGGGGGAGAAACAGACAAAACGACCACAGAAATAAATGTGAGCTTGCAACCGTGGTAAGTGTGGCCAAGACGCACCTGCTTGCATATAAGGGGGAAGCTTGACCACCAGGGAGTCCAGGAAGGCTCCCCAGAGGAGGCGGCCGGCTAGAGCACAAGATGATTTAAGCAGGTGAAGTAGGGGAGAGAAGTTCCCCAGTGGGTTCGTTTCCCACCTCCTTGGGTGTGCCTGCCATGTAAGAAGTTTGTACCTGGATCCGCCCTGCCCTTCACCCATGGCTTTCCCAACCCCTCCCGAGGCTGGCAAACAGGGACGGCTCAAAGAGGCGAGCCCCGGCACTGGGCCCTCACCCTGGATCCTCTGTGCAGCCCACAGCCTCCCTGCCGTCTCCAGCACCCACGCCTCAGTCCGGTCAGCCAGCAGGAAAGTGTTGTGGTAGCAGAATGGGGCTGGGTCCTCCCGGCAGCTTCCCCCTTGCCCGTAGCGCTCCAGCAAGTCTGTGATCACATGCAAGGCTCCCAGGGCAGAGCTGCTCCGTTCTAGACCCAGCCTGGCATGAAGAAATGCAGGGGACGGGAGGGGGGACGAAGTGTCAGACAGAAGGCTGCAGACAGAAGCTCCAGGGGACAGGAGGCGCCCAGAGAGGCCTAGGTCACACACCCACAAGTCTGCCAATGTTGGTGGTATTAAGCACAGTTAGGCAGGTGGATGTCTTTCAAGTTCTCCGAGGGCCCCATGAAGGAAGTGGCCCGAGTTCCCCAGCCTCTCTTCAACCAAAGCTTCTCTGCTTTTACTGGTTTTGTCAGTTGGGACTCCATATGAGATTTCATTTGGGGGGGGGGGAGTACTTCTATTGAAAAAAGAAATTTGAAAGCACTGCCCTATTTCTGGGCCAGGAGAGGCCCAGAAGTGGCCACATTCAGAAGCTTCTTACCAGACTGTGGAGATGGGGCCACCAGAGAGGGGGAGCAGGGGCAGTCTCTTTCGTGATGGCAAGGGGGAACAAAAAGGAGGCCATGGTGAACCTAACTTCGGGGAGGGGAGGATGGCCTGGGTCAGTACTCAGCTCTTAGACTTCCAGTGTGTAGACATGAGGCAAGACAGGGTCCGCACCTGAGTAGATCCATGCCCAATAGGGCTTCCCCCTCTCCAACTGGCTCCTTGGTCCACACTGCCTCATTGCCAATGCAGACACCATGCTCATTGGCGCCCATCTCAGCCCCCCACAGCCAAGAAGGGCGGCTCAGGATTACAGCGTGAGTCTTTGATACCTGTTCCACCTCAATGTAGGTGCACTGCAGGTAAGGGAGGAGAAAGGGAGTCCATTCAGAAAGGGATCTGTCATTCCCATTTTACAAAGGAAACTGAGGTCGACAGAAGCTAAATAATACGCCAAGTCCAGGTTGGTAGGCTGGAAGGTCATGCTCTTCCCACCACATCCGGGGACTTGCCAGGTGGGAGGAACAGAGGAGGAAGGTCTTAGAAGAATGCCTAGGTCTCGCCACACCTCCCGAGGCTTCCATAAGGCCTAACCCACCTGAAGCCGGCTCCCAGGGGCATGAGTGCCTGCTGGTACAAACACCACCTCCTGCACCTCGTCCCGCGGCCGGTCAGAATTCTTGGCAAAGATCACCGCTGGGGTGGCCGAGGCCGGCGGCACCGAAACAAAGCAATCGCAGGAACGCGGGGTGTCAGAGCCCCACCAGGCCATCTGGGGAGAGGTGGAGATGTGTGTGTCCCCCTCATGCCGCCTCTCCACCATCCCGGCCAGAGCTCAACAGACACTCAGGAAAGACACTGCCGTCGGCTCCTGGGCACACTCGCGGGCGGCGTGCGCAGCCCAGGCTCCAGGCTCGGGAGTCAGCGGGCGGACGTACACGGCAAGCTCCTGGGACCCAGCCCAACCGGGAGCCCGACCCCCCAGTGCCGTCGCGGGACCACCTCCCTCGCCACCCCACCCCCCTCCAAAAGTCCCACGCCCCTCTTCTGTCCACACTTTTTCGCCTCCCCAATACCGTTTGCCGCTCACCCTCTCTCCTTCCGAGATCACCGGCTTAGTCCCGGGTGCCACCGCCTCCGCTTCAGCTCATTGGACAGAGGCTCGCAGGTGACCTGGAAGGCTTTGGCCCGGGGCAGGGGGTGGGGGTGGGCGGAGCCGGAACCAAGCGCCTGCAGTTCCTTGACTTTCCACCAGGGTGCGCACCAATACTACTTCTTGGAGGGCGGCAGCGTCGGAAACCTTGCCGGTCGGCCGGCCTTTCCTAGCGCCGCTCCCAGGCACTTCCAGCAGAGATACTAGGGGGAAGAGGCATCTGGGGGTGGAAAGGAACCCACGTAAAAAGAGAGGAAAGAAAAACCGGGCAGATTTGTTAGAGAGCGAGGATTGCTTGGGCATCTGGAGGAAAAATCGTAGCTCATTGTGTCCTGGTTTGAATTACAAAGGTGCAGCCTACCCCTAACTCCCACCAGGGCCTAAGATCTGCTTCAGATTCTGTGTCTCCCCTCTCTCTCTGACCCTCCCCTGCTCACGCTGTCTCTCTCTCTCTCAGAAATAAATTAAAAAACATTAAAAAATTAAAAAATAAAAAGATCTGTAAGATTGTTACAGGGCTGGAGGTGTGGGGATAACATAACACATTAAAAAAATTTTTTTTTCATATCTATTTTTGAGAGAGAGAGACAGAGCATGAACAGGGGAGGGGCAGAGAGAGAGAGGGAGACAGAATCTGAAGCAGGCTCCAGGCTCTGAGCTGTCAGCACAGAGCCAGATGTGGGGATTGAACTCACCAACCATGAGATCAGGATGGAGCGCAAGTCGGAGGCCTAACTGACTAATCTACCCAGGTGCCGGCCAACCCCCCCAATTTTTTTAATGTTTATTTATTTTTGACAGAGAGAGAGAGAGACAGAGAGACAGAGAGTGTGTGAGCCCAGGAGGGGCAGAGAGAGACACATACAGAATCTAGAGCAGGATCCAGGATCTGAGCAGTCAGTACAGAGCGTGGGCAGAACTCACCAACCGTGAGATCATGACCTGAGCTGAAGTTGGATGCTTAACCCACTGAGCCACCCAGGTGCCCCTTTAATGCATTTTAAAAAAATTTTTTAATGTTTATTTTTGAGAGAGAGAGCACGAATAGGGAGGAGCAGAGAGAAGGAGAGACACAGAATCCGAAGCAGGCTCCAGGGTCTGAGCTGTCATCACAGAGCCTCACACGGGCTCGAACCCACAAACCTTGAGATCATAACCTGAGCAGAAGTCTGACACTCAACCAGCTGAGCCCCCTAGGCACCTGTACTGCATTTTTTAAAATGCACATATGCTCAAAACCCATCTGACTCCCAAAAGATAGATTCTGCCCACCCCCCACAGTGTTCAAACTCATAGGAAAATAGCTTTGAAAGGAAATTTGGAAATTTCTAGCCCAAAGATTTTATGCCTTTATAAATAGTGAAACTGAAACAGCAAAGGAGAAATCTTGGCCAAGGGGCCTCATATCAGTGTGGGGATTTGGCCTCTGATCCCAAATGTTCTGCTTTCTCGGTCATTTTCCTCTATAATGCACCTCCATAAACCAGCATCTAAGCAAATGTATCTCACACCCTTTTGTTCTGGGGAGCCCTCCAGGAATGGGCAAGGGAGAGATACTGCAGATGATCTACTTCCACATCCATCCTGCCAGTCAGGGTTGCTGCTCAGAGCCCTGGCCACAGCATCCCAGCCTGTTGTCTCTCGTGGGGTGGGAATGAAGGCACAGAGGCCAAGCCTTCCCCAGGAGGCCAACTGTGGGCCGGTGTACCAGATAAGGCTGTTGGGGGAGCTGAAATCTACAATATTTCCTAATTGCCTGGAGGTATCTGAGACTGATTCCGAAGAGGAAGCTGTCCCCAAGGAGATGGGCTTCATTTTCAGAAGAGGGACTGTCACCTGTGAGAAGAATTGACCTAGAAGCTGGGCTGGAGGCAGGGGAGAACATCGCCTGGAATGCTGAACACTGGCTTCACGTCCTGCTTCTTCTGTGGAGCTGCAGTGTCTGTCTGGGCAGGTCATTTTATCTTTGACGGCCTCCGTTTCCCCAGTGGCAAAATGACGGCATTAAACGAGATCAGTGGTTCTCAGCCATGATTTGGGGAGGGAAAGTTAGGGGAGGCATTCGTTTTCAACCACACGACTCCCACTGCACAACATAAATAATACTTTATTTTTTTCTAATATTTATTTTTGAGAGAGACAGAGCGTGAGTGGGGGGAGGGGCCGATAGAGAGACACAGAATCCGAAACAGGCTCCAGGCTCTGAGCTGCCAGCACAGAGCCTGATGCAGGGCTCAAACTCGCGAACCGTGAGATCGTGACCTGAGCCAAAGCTGGATGCCCAACCGACTGAGCCACCCAGGCACCCCTAAATAATACTTTAATACTCTGCTATTCAGTGTCCATGGACTGCCCACCTCACCATCATCTGAAAGCTTGTTAAAAATGCACAATCTTGGGCCCCACCTCATACCTACTAAATCTGAAGCTGCATGTTAACAACACCCCTAGTATGGGGCGCCTGGGTGGCTCAGTCAGTTGGGCGTCCAACTTTGGCTCAGGTCATGATCTCACAGTTCTTGAGTTCAGGCTCTGCATTGGGATTCTCTCTCTCTCTCTCTCTATGACCCTCCCCTGCTTGCACTCTCTAAATAAATACATACTTTTTTTAAGTTGTTAAAAAAAAAAGAAAACAACACCCCTAGTGTAAAGTTTAAAAAGCACTGCTCTAATACACCCCCAAGGACGTAGCTGGGTGGGGTGTTGGAGAATCAGGGGGTCTTGAAAAACTCCATGGGTGACTCTAATATGCCCTCTACTGGGTGGAAACAGCCAGACTATTCGGTTCCTGAGATTCTTTTCAAACCTTACACGGCTAAGATACTAAGCAGTTAGGCTCACCACGATTAATGGAAAGTGAAGGCTGCTTCAGGTGCACTGTTGGGGAGGGGTTGTGAGCTTGCCCTTGGATGTCATTCCAGAAGCCAACATCAAGGCTGCGAGCTGACAGGCGTGAGCACCCTAAGCAGCCTGCTGCAAAGCCAGCTCCGCTCCTGCACTTCCCCGGCTGCCCGCGAGGGGGCAGGAACAGGCCGGAGGAGAAGCAAGCGTGTGTCCGCGGGCCACAGAGGAGCCCCAGGCTGCGGTTCCCTGGCGGCCTGCGGCTTGATCACTTTCCCATTCCTGATTTCACTCAAGCACCCTAAAAGGCCTGTACTCCCAAGAGAGGGAGATGGCCGCTCAGAGAGGTGCCCAAAGTGTCAGCCCACATGGTCGGACTTCCCTAATTCCTTCCTGGCCCTTCTAGGATCATCCCTGTGGGGGCACCAGATCTGAGGCATCAATGGTGGCCTTGGGCTCCCTCAGGGGGCCCAGGGCCAGCCAAGCAGCATTGCTACCGATTGGAGCCAGTGAGCAAACATCAGAGCCCCACCAAAGGCCCCCACTAAGAATGCAGGTCAGCAGGAGGAGCTGTGAGGGGAGGAGGGGTGGCCCCGGCCCTGCCCAGACAGGCCCAGCCGGCCCCACAGCTGCCCTCCTGTCCCTGGGGGCAGCGATGGGGTAAAGGAGAGGACTCACCAGGTTCCTGGGGTCTAACTCCCCCAGAACTAGGAAGACAAAAGAGGCACCCCAAGGAGTGAGGCAGACGGGCATGAGGCCACCGGAATGGAACGTGTGTGCCTGCCCCTCTTCTCAGGCTTCCAAATCCAGGAGCAAGAGAAAATAAATAGCTGCTCCCCCCAAAACCAGTCTGCTTTCGCTTCTACCCCCTAAATCATTCTGATACCCCCATCCCCAAGTGGCCTTAAGCTTTGTGACTCCAGGGGCGCCTGGGTGGCTTAGTCGGTTAAGCGTCCAACTTTCACTTAGGTCATGATCTCACGGTTCGTGGGTTCGAGCCCTGCGTCAGGCTCTGTGCTGACTGCCAGCTCAGAGCCTGGAGCCTGTTTCAGTCTGTGACTCCCTCTCTCTCTGACCCTCCCCTGCTCACGCTGTCTCTCTCTCTCCTAGAAATAAATAAAACATTAAAAAAAAAAAAAAAAAACTTTGTGACTCCAGATTTTCCCAAACAAGTGATGAGAGGAGCCAATCTAGGTACCAGACTTGGCTCCAGGAAGTTGGGCTGGGGGTGGAATGGGGTTAACAGGAATCTCACTAGGGAAGAGAATAATTTTGGCCCAAATGTGGGATGGGAAGGTAAAGCAACACAGTCATCTGGCCTACCCTTTGGAGCCCAAAATTGATCCTCCATCAACCTTCCTCGCTTTGGGGCTCTGGAGCCCTAAGGTTTTTGTTTCTCATTTATCGTGAATTAGGCACCGGCTGCATACCAGGCATTGGGCAGCCTGGGAAAGTGTGTACAGATGCACATTTCTGCATATCCAAGGATGCCGATGGGCCCAGTGAGGGTGCGTTTGTGCACTGCACACACACTGTAGTTGTGTAACTATGGCGGGCCCTCTAGCTGGGAGTTGCAGTACGATCCTTCCCTCATACTTTCCAGCTGGGCGGGGGCCCATCAGATATCTTGGCTGCCTTTCATCGCCTTGTCCCTGATAGGGATCATCCTGGGTGAAGAAATCGTTGTCAGTCACCCCCGCCTCACTGACAGCCAGAGGGACTGATCACACCCCCACAGGGGCGGGGTGACGGAGCCCCAGAGGCTGGCTCTCTCTGGGAAGGCAGGGAACCAGCATTCTTGGCAGAGGAAGGGAAAGAGGGGGCTTCTATGTGGAGGAAGGAAATATCTAGAACCTTCTTATCCCCTGGGGAGGGACAGTCAGCCCAGTTGCGAACCCTGAGGGAGCTCCTCCCTCCTTCAGCACCAGCCACCTCCAGGGAAGGATCTGACCCTTCGATCAGCTCAGCTCTGCCCCAGACAAAGGGAGGTGAGGCTGCCCAGGGCTGCAGGATCAAAGGGAAGTGTCCACCCCACCCAGCAGCCGGCCTCATCCTCACTGCTGAGGGACACTGAGTCAAAAAGGAAACCAGAGCTGGAAGACAAACGAGGCAATGATGTGGTTGATGACTTTATTATGGCATAAAA